GTACTCGACTTGCCGAAGACACGGGATTCCATTCGATGGTAGTGGGGTTCCCCACACTTTCTGGCGAAAAACAGATTCAACATAGACCTTCCAGCATCAGGGTGCAACCAGTGATCAGGTACCGACACACACACACATATCACACATATCACATCATGTCGGAGAAACATATACTGCTTCACGCATGAAAAAGCATCAACGGCCATCTTGCAGCGTTGCCCCTAGTGTCACGAGCCAAAACACCAGCGGGCAAGGCTGCGAAGGGTCACATCCGGAACTGAAGAGTTCGTTTCCAGCCACTGAATCAGGAACCAATTGACTGGATCGTAAAAACATGTCCTCACTGTCCCCGGAGTTTTGATGGATGAAGTCAGGGTCTGAGTCTCCCTTCCGAGTTTTCTTGCTGGATTGGCGCCTGCAAAGCAGCATCCTGGGCTATGTTTGAAAGTACCCTAGACATCTGGTATCAGTCCGCTTGTTGTTCCGCAAAGCTTCGTGGATCTTGGCACCGGGCACCTGGTTGACCACGTCAAATGAACAGATTCCACGTTCCATGCTTTGGCGGAAGATTTGACTCGTCGCCACTGACAGAGCCGACAGATCTGATCCGTACTGACAATGTGTGGACTGTGGGGGTGGGGCGAAGTAGTCAAGTTAATCCCTAGGGCTCCAACAGAGGTTGAATGAGCCTATAGGCTATCCCAGTTCGGTACCCCTGATGACGGGTCCTATTTACGGTCACTTCACCTCTGTTGGCAGTCGTACCGAACCTGAGAAAGTGGCTCTGGGGCCCGGTCCCCCAGAGGGTGAAAACACCTGAGGTTCGGTACGACTGGAGCCCTAAATCATTCCTTCAGAAGCGGTCAACTTTTAAGGGATCCAGGTAAGTACCGAACCTCAGGTACGGTACGACTGGACCCTCAAAACCGAGAGTGTCTCCAATCACCGTACCTGGGAAGGTACGACTGGATCTGTATAGGGAATCTTCTATCTCTCTTGGAGTCACCAACAAAAACATCCGAATCCAAGACGTGATTTTCGCGCTCCGGAAAAAATGCTTACCCATACCAGGGGCGCCTGGCCCCTAGGTTGCAATAACAAGTTATTCTTATGATGCCGTCTTCATCCAAACCTTACTTTAGGATGGCTGCCAATCCTGTACTTCAGTTAAATCCGGCTTGGGATGAAAAACACCGAGCAAGGAAAGGGCATCTGCTGAGAAAACTCCTTTTACAAAACAAGGGCCAGCCAAAGCCGCGGCGGGCTCCTTTTGCAGGCACGGGCCATAGTCTGTTTTTTCAGCAATGCAAGCATGCAACTATGACCACAGCTGACCCCTGACCCTATTTCGGGCCTTCTTTAAAGCAAACAACACCCCACAGTCAACTTGGAGTTGTCTCACCACGTTTCTCTTGGGGGGCAGCCAGACGCGCGCGAGCTACCAGACAAAGCAAGTTGCTATGCCATGAACCCTAAAATCGGCCCAACGAAGCTGCACTTTTGCTATGTCTGACACCTTCGGTAATTGCGTAGGGCATGTCTGACACCAACCCTAGGAGTGAGCAGTTTGCCCCTTCAGTGAACGCTTTTTGCAAAACAAGGAGGTTGGTTTGGCCCGACCAAATGTAAATATAAATCCTCAAAGGGCCTTGAGACCTTCAAGCACCTGATATCAAATACTGGCAAATGCGGGCTTCTTTGCCAGCCTCCAGAACAATTACAGTGGCTTAACAAACATGCACAAAACGTTTTGACACGAAAAAGGTGGGGGGCAACACGGAAACCAAAAGAAAAACATGTTCGCGATGGAACACCCAGTGATGTGACTCCGACTCGAGTGAATAACCCGCATTTCTTTGATCAGCTTTTACATCCCTTTTTGCCAAGGGGTGGATGACATTGGATGACACCCCTGTTTTGAGCCATCATGTTGACTGTTGATTCAAAAAAACAGGACTGGAGTCCCTGGATATGTTTTCAAGATTCAAGATTGTATATGCTAGCATTCTGCAGAATAGGAGCCCCTATAGTAGCTTCTTGTTCCTAGTAGTATACGGCCTTGTTCGCACCATTCGTAGCGTCCGATCGCTCCGTTCTTCGTCGCGATGCCAGGAGCCCCTAATACAGTAGCATTCTGGAATAGGGGAATGGATCGATTCATCAGCAACAACCAAGAGAGGTTAAGAGACCATACAGGACCCTGTATAGCGGTACATATGGGATGGGCTATAGGGCTGTTCGACCTGTCTTGGAAACCACGGCTCCTTCATTTGGCCGAACCCGCGGCGAAGCCGGCGCCGGACGATCCGCGGGCCTCAGACCAACGCGACTGGGTGGTTTCCCGGGGGGCCCTGGTACATAGCCTAAGTATAGAATATGTTAGCACAAACCAATGAGAGCAACAAAGAAAAACACGTTTGTGAATGATCAGAATCATGAAGAGACAACAACATCGAAACGCCCAGCTTTCTCCAAAACTATCACCCAAAACTGTTGATCAAACCAGCTGTAACTTGCATAATGATAAGCTTATTTACATGTTTGGTGTCAGGGTGATTTACGGTGTTCTGATCGGATCTCTTCCCTCCCAAAGGGCTTCCACCGAACTTTCGAGTCGATGAACTTTCGAGCCAACTTCGACGCAAAACGACGCCGTCCACCGCATCGGAACCACATCGCACATCGTTGAGCTGCAGACCGTGTTCAGTCGCTGGGCTTCGGTCGACAGCTCTGACAGTTCGGGTTGCTGCAGCCTTTGCCTGGAACGAGTTGACCTGGACAGGGGCCGACTGGAGGTCTGATAGAAAGCTGCTGTCCACCAACACGGAAGAAAAGGTCTGTGATGGTTGGTTCACTGGTTGGTTCCTATGCAATATATAGTCGAAATATACACCACGAACACCCAAAGTCCTTGTACGCATGGGCTGATCGTCGGGTGTGTGCCTTAAGAAGTGCTTGAATGCCTGGGAAATGCAACGGCCATGGTTCGAAGGCTTCGAAGGGGTCCTTTCCCAAAGAACCATCATTTTACTAAGGATGTGAGACTACAAACCAGGACCTTCAAAGTGACCTTTTGAGATCCCAGGATGAGGTCACTTAGGCCCATTAAAGGTCACTTAGAGACTCCAAAGAGGTCACTTTGAGGGTCCTGGAAACCAAACCATTGTTCTAATCATTCTACGATGGAACCCATTTGACCTCTGTTTTGATCGGAAAAGTGACCATGGTTGGTGGTCCAAAAAAGAGGTCATTCAGGTTCCAGGTACAGTAATGCTATATAATGGCATTTGAAGGCGCACAGGTTACTTCTTTCCAGCCCACGACGGGACGCGAGTAGGGTGTGCGCAGCTTATCCCCCCGCAAGAGCCATACTCAGCGATGGAGGTAGCAGCTGTTCTATCTTTTCAAACGAACCAGATGTTCGTTGGGTCTACGGTTTGGTCGTCTTTGGAACCACTAGTGTCCGTTTTGTAGGGTTAACTGGAACCACTGAGTTAAGCATTCAAGGGTACTCGTGCCAGACCGTCCACTACCACTTCTGTTGCCGTATTTTCCTTAGAGAACCCAGGTCGAAGCTTTCTCATCCCTCCGGTTCCGGATATTAAGTAAAGAAGGGAAAGCCATTTTGCCATTGCTTGTGGTAGTCAGAGCTGTGGACCAGAAGGGAACGCCAACATGTTCCCAGAACCCCCATCCAAACACGTTCCATGTCAGGCGCGTCACCTCCGTAGAGCACCTCCATACGACCGGTGCACCACCGATGCTCCACCGGATGCGCCACCGGTCGGTTGAAACGAAAGGAAACTCGGTCGACTGGGAGTCGTGACTGGGATCAGGGCATCGGCGAGCCTGGGCGATCAAGGAGAAACGGTCGCTCACCAGTCAACTGATCCCAGTACCCCTATAGTACTATGATGGTACATGGGTGCCCCTTTGGTTCGACTATCCCAGTTGGGCACCCCAGGTGACAGTGACAGGTCCTAAGAGGCTAAAAGGTCGCTGAGAGGCCGCTGAAAACATGCTGATCCTCTCTTGGGGCGACCAGTCACCAGTCGTAGATAGGCCTCGTTTATCTGGGGTCCTCCACCTTGAAGTGAAGTCGATGATTCGTGATGTCAGCCACTGGGATTTCGGCCATGTGGTCACGAACTGAAGATCCTGGCCTGTGATTCATGTAGACTTTGGGTATATATATCCCATTACCAGTAACAACGGATGATGATGGTTGCAGGCTTTTCTCTAATAATTATATTGATAATTAGACCCTAGGACAAGCCCAATGTAGACTCTTGATTAACTAAAGGACTAAACCGCCATAAATCGCCATAAACCTCCCCTGACCTTATATATCTTTGAGTCTAGGGTTGCACCCAAGGTGGTCAAACCATAAGAGCAACATGCAAAACCTCTCTGTGTTGTAATGCGCACTCTTCCCAACGTTATCGTTTTTTCTGTGAACCTTGTCGTTCCTGAGGCTTTGGACACACCTAAGAACATGTACTAAAACCTTATCGTACTCCTTATCGTTTTTTGTGAACCTTATCGTTCCTGAAGGTTTCCTTCACTTTACTTACTTAGTCTTCACTGCAGTGATGTTTCCTTCATCGGAGGTTTTGGCAGTTGCTCATAAGTCTTGGCTGTCCATTGAATTGGTCCTTTGCTAAGGGTTTGACCCATAGTGGTTGAGTAAAAAACGTTCTAAACATTTCTAAACCAAAAGGACTAAGGTACTGTTACTAACAGGTTGCCAGAACCCTCAAAGACCTGTTTTCTCATCTTTCTCTGTTTCCCTTTGGAGGTATGCACCCAAAGGGAAAACGACGACGACAACAACAACAACAACTCATAGGTCAACAACTGCAGGACGACAACAACAACAAACAACAAACAACAAACAGCCACAACAACAAACAACCAACAACAACAACCACAGCCAGAACAACAACACCTCTTGGAGGGCCCACGCGTAGATCTTCAGCACCGATCACTTCTCTCCTTTTTTTGTCGGCCTTGATTTCACCGCATCTCCAGCACCCCTCCGGCGCTGGAAGCTGCGCTACGCTTCGCGCAAGGCGTTTCCCGGTTCCGCTGCTTGGCAGGTTCACGGGGCGACCTTGCGCAGGAACTTGAAGATACAATTCTCGTCCGCGGTCCTGGGATTTCTTACGGCGATGATGGCGATGTCACTTCGTAAGTATGATCAAGTCCAACCTCACCCAGATTACGTTTGCTGGTAGGTCGGAGGCCATCGCTATTGGGTTGGAGGCCATTGCTAGTAAGGTTGGAGGCCATCACCAGTAGGTTGGAGGCCATTGCTATTAGCTTGGAAAGTTCGGTTCGTGGGTTCTTGGAACGTGCCAACCTCACCGCCCCGGGCTGCGCAGCACCGGGCTGTACCGATCCCGAGGTGCACAGCACCAGAATCTGTGGGGTTTTCCCTCTGAGTTCAACCTGTCCTGAAATCAAACTGACATGTGATGCCAATAGGTTTTTCATGGCTTTTTCCTTCTTTAGTTCGGAGGAGCACGTAAGTCTCTCAAAGATCTTGAGTTCATTGTGCTCCATGAACCTTCAGCAGCCAGCTGGGGATTCTTGATCTGCCAAGTGTCACAGGGTTGAAGAACCAGGGCTCTGGGTTCAAGAGCAAGCGCACGATCTGCCCAAAGATGGTGAAGACAGCATAGGAGCAGCCAGCAAAGTAAATGTAAAGCATGCCTGGAAAGAACTGATGAGAGAGCGCCATCAAGAGACTTGCAGGATAGACCCTATTTGGATGTATGACTGGACCCTCCTGGCACCCACCGCAGTTCCACCGTCTCAGAAGGTGCTTGGAGCCCTAATTGTGATCAATCATGTTCTCCAGGACGACGGGTGTGCCTGGAGATGTATGACGACAAAAGCATGGGAGATCTCATGGGTTTGCATTTTGACCCCAAACGAATGGGTTTCAGTCCTCTTCTAAGAGGTGGGCCATCCACTTCCATGACGGTTGGGGGGGCCATGCCATCCATTTCCATGATTGTTTCAGGGAGTACTCTTCCAGGGGGGTCCTTGGGAAAGTCACCTGCCAGAGCTGCACTTTTATGGCATGGCAAGAACTATCGAGCGATGTAAAGCCGACTTTGGGGGAAAGGTCGGCGACATCGACGGTGGCCATTGGCAAGCATGTTTGTTTATGGTAAAGATTGGTAAAACCTTCTGATTCACGTGCACATAGAGCAAGGTTTCAGAATTCATTGATCAAATGCCCAGATCACTCAAACCTCCCACCACCTGCTACTCCTAGCCGCTGCCTAACCCGCGTGCAAACTGGTCATGTGGCCAAACAAGCGGATCAGGTCATGTGCTTCGCTGGTCAGGTCCCCTCAAAATATGTTGTGCAATTATTCATAAAGGGTTTGTATTGTAATATAAAATGCAAAGGAAACCTCCTAACCAATAACCCTTAAGGGGACCCATATACAAACCCTTAACCCTTATTTTAATTCAAAACCCTTAACCCTCAAGGGGGCCTCCTAACCAATGGGTTTTAGTCTTGGCCCTTCTTCCATGGGGTCTTCAAGCAGTCTCCCTATTTGAATACACACCCATAGGAGTACTGGGTTTTAGTCTTGGCCCTTCTTCCATGGAGTCTTCAAGCAGTCTCCCTATTTGAATACACACCCATAGGAGTACCAGTGTCATTGTATTTTCAGTAATGGCACAATTCCTCAGTATTGTTATTGCGGTGCCAGTGTTGTACCAGTGTCATTGGTAATGATTACTCTCAGTGTCATTGCCAAAAAAGAGTACCGTCGTGAGCAACCAAATCAAACCTGCAAGAAATCAGGTCAATTGGTACAACCCTACCCCACCACCCCCAACGAACACCAAAAAGGGTGGCATTGGTACAACCTACTCCACTTCCCAGTTCGTCCAAGAAGCTCAGGCGATAGACCAAGGATCCCGCTTGAGTACACTGACTGGATTCGAAGAAGTAGTCCTCGAGAGTGGCTCCCCACTGCCATGGACGGACACCCCAACCCGTTCTTCGCCCTCGTGGTTTCGACAAGCCGAACGGACTCGCCGACCGGTCTGGTGGGTGGTCCGTTTCGTCTCTGAAAAGGAGCCGCTTCTGGTCTCTGCGCCCGCTTGGACATGATCAAGTGGATTTCATAATTCATGTACACATGTGTCTCATAAGTCATCTGGTCTAAAGCATATACAGTATCACATATACCAGGACCGGAGAGCCCTGGGGTATATATCCCAGACACTCCATGTATGGAATATTTGCCTACATTGACCCCTCCAACCACCCCTGGCCTGATCGGCATAGATGGCAGTCCCATGGAGTGTTTGGGTATTGTTCAAGGTCGTCAACAAAACTCTTCGCCCAGGTCGACTGGACAGCCTGAGTTCCCTGGGGCAGCTGGACCACCCGACCCTGCCTTCGTATCCCTCGGACCGTCCCCGTCCTCGATGGATGGGTTTCCCCAACTGCACTGCTGAGAAGTGACAGTTGAGGTCGCAGTGTCACTGTCGCCTTGGACCCAGCTCTTCTGGACTTACAGCCAAGGTTACAAACACTTTTGATATCTTTTGATGTCTCCATCCAATTTCTTCACCCTCGGAAGCCTATTTCATCAGCTGGAACTCACCAAAGGGCCTCCCGATGCGACCATCCCCAAATTAAAACACGTCACCATCGTCCCCAGCATCGCCATCAGCGGCGTCGTCACCATCATCCGCGGCATCGGCGGCGTCGTCGTCGCCTGAAATCAGTGAATAAAGGAAGGAAAAGGCTAGTATAGTAATGCACTAGCTACTAGTAGCCTCTTGTGACTGGTAGTCATGCACTTGTTACTAGTAGTAATGCACTTGTTACTAGTAGCTTCTTGTTACTAGTAATAATGCACTAGCTACTAGTAGCCTCTCGTGACTGGTAGTCATGTACTTGTTACTAGTAGTGATGCACTTATTACTAGTAGCTTCTTGTTCCTAGTGGTAATGCACCAGCTACTAGGTAGCTTCTTGTGACTGGTAGTCATGCACTTGTTACTAGTAGTGATGCACTTATTACTAGTAGTTTCTTGTTACTAGTAGTAATGCACCAGCTACTAGCAGTAGCTTCTTGTGACTGGTAGCCACGCACTTGTTACTAGTAGTGATGCACTTATTACTAGTAGCTTCTTGTTATATACTAGTAGTAGTGCACCAGCTACTAGCAGTAGCTTCTTGTGACTGGTAGCCATGCACTTGTTACTAGTAGTGATGCACGTATTCCTAGTAGCTTCTTGTTACTAGTAGTAATGCACTAGCTACTAGTAGCTTCTTATGACTGGTAGTCATGCACTTGTTACTAGTAATGATGCACTTATTACTAGTAGCTTCTTGTTACTAGTAGGAATGCACTAGCTACTAGTAGCTTCTTGTGACTGGTAGTCATGCACTTGTTACTAGTAGTGATG